TAGGACTCGTCCATCTCGAACCCGTCCAATGAAAGAGGACCCAGCTACTGGGGGATCCTCTTTTCTTTTTCTTTTTTCTTTTTTTTTTTCTTTTTTTTTTTTCCTTACCAACTCCAGTAGGTGGAGCTCGAACAGACGCTGTCCTGGAAAAAAAAAAAGGAGTCGGTCCATCAACTTGTATAGGGGCAGCGGGGAGGGAGCAGCAGACGGGTGAAGGGTAGGTGGTGGAGGGCGGGGGCGAGGTGGAGGGAATAAGGTAGATCCAAGGAACAGAAAGCGGGGTGTAAAGGTGTCCGACTTCTTTTGGATTTTTTTATTTTTTTAATTTATTTTTTTAATTTTTTTTGCATTTCTGTTGCCCCAGTGGTGGAGGGAAAAAAAAAAAAGCATCCAGCGGCCTAGCTCAGTTGGTAAGGCACGCAAGTGGCATTCAGGAGGTCTTGGGTTCAATCCCCATTGGCCTCATGTACCTTCCTGGGCAAGCTTGGCGCCCGCCACCTAGAGATATGCCGTTGGTCCCCCCGAGTGGCATTGAGCAGAGACTGCTGATGTTCATAGGGGGAGGGGACCACCACCAGAGGGGAGGCGCAGTGACTGGCCCATAGAAGAAGCTCGGTCCTGATGCTACCAGCTGACCCCTGGCCGGTATCTCCCACCTGCTGTAGCAGGTATCGCACCTGCTGGTGGGTGCAGCTCCCGCATGTTCCCTCGATGGAGGCTTGAGCACGGATGTGGCTGCTACGGGGTTCCCCGTAATACTATAATGACAATAAAAAAGGCCTGAAAGGCCGTCCTGTCCGGATTTGACAGGTAATTGAATTGGTTGGGCTTAAAGAATTAGCCTTTTTTCTATTTAATATTTAAAAAAAAAAAAAAAAAAAAAGCCAAGAAACTCCTTCTAAGTTTCTGCTGACCCTTGGCACTGTTGCTGTCGCCTGCCCCCCCCGGGCCCAAGGCAGCCGCTTTCCCCCCCTTTTGCTGCTTCTTTGCCCTGCCCAGTCAATCCCCCGCCCAGTATGGAAGGCCATCAATGCGGGCAGGGGGAGTATTCCTTTCTTTTCTTTCTTTCTTTCTTTTTTTTTTTTTTTTTTCCTTTTTTTTTTTTTTTTTTTTTTTTTTTTTTTTTTTTTTTTTTTTTTTTTTTTTTTTTTTTTTTTTTTTTTTTTTCTTTCTTTCTTTCTTTCTTTTTTTTTTTTGTGTGTTGGGGGGGGAGGGGAAGGGTGCAGAGGGAAGATTCTTATACTGCTCAATTTTCTCGAGTGTTCCTTCTTTCAAAAAATCTTGGATGTTGTCAAGGGACGCTGGACCCGGTTTGCAGCAGGTGCTGGTCCCCACCAATAGATTGGAGCCACCTGTAGGAATAGCTAGGGGTACATGCTCTTATCATTACCCCTAGCTGGACCTTCAGGATGCTCAAAAAAAAAAAAAAAAAAAAAAAAAAAAAAAAAAAAWMA